GAGTGTGAATGGGCTGTAGTCAATCGCAACATGGTCTATCAAACCCCTACCGATATATGTAATAAGAAAAATATGTAAAAGTTTTTTGGTTAAATCTTACTTCTGAATCTTCCAATATGTTAATACTGGATTCTCCTACATCAGGATGTCCATGAATACTAGTTGAACACATAATATTAAGGACTTGTTCTTCTTGTGATGTCAATGTCTCTGTATTTTGTGTACCACCTCCTGTTGCTGTCATAGATTGCTTTATAACGGTATGTTTTTTTTTACTGCGTGATTGAAAGTCGTGCCAGCACTAGAAGATTTTTTTAAATCAATATTGAAAGGTTATATTGATATATATTTTATATATATATATATATATATATATATATATATATATATATATAATTAGTTTTATTTTATTAATATAGAAATATAACACCTTACGCCAACCTTTCCAGTCCTTTTTAGCGCCATTTACTGAATTTAAGATTTCAGTTATTTTGTTCCACAAACGTACAGAATCTTTCATGGTAAAGGAAGATGTAAACTTTCCTTTTAATAATTCATTGTGCTATTCATGAACTCTATTAATAGTGTTCTTTGCTCATTTGTGATATTTGCACATCTTTTTTTTCTCTGCAAGCTATCCATCTGTAATACAAAACAACATATAAAGAAAGTTATTAATATGTATCATTAGTAATACAATTTCACAACAGTAACTTTGCCATAAAATAAGTGGCAGCGACAGCCAGAACAAAGCTTACCTTAGAGACGGCGACCACGGAACGCGCGTATGCGCGATCTACATCAGCCGATGGAGTAACGAGGAAGACAACTACCGGACGAAGCCACGACCGGAGAGCGCCGAGGCAAGGACGCGACGGACACCGCGCGCGGAAATGGCAATCCGTACGCGTTAGGCGATGTGCCGTGAGCGCGAGCTGAGCGACGGAACACCGACGAGGAAGAGACACCAGTGGACGCAGCCCGAGAGAAGCGACGATCACGACGAGGACCTAACCTAACAGAAAAATGTAGAAACGTTAAAACTTTACTTTCAAAAATTATATAATATGTACTTCCAATTTTAGAAAACATTTATTTATAAGTATAAGAAAATATATTGTATTAAAAGTAACAAATAATGTTTTTTAGAAATTTATAACCTATACATTACAAGTCACAAGAATACATCTATTATTAAGATAAAGATTTTATGTGTGTGTTAAAAAGAAAATTGTATAAATGTTATAATAACTTTTTCCCTTCAGTTTTATTAATTATTCTATCAATTAAATATAAAATTTTAATTAAATATAATACAATACCTTCTCAATCAATATACATTGCACGATGCTTCTGATCGATATTTGTAGGAATGTACTTACATTTTCCGACGTTGCCAAACATAAATCAGTGCAATGGAAAGCGTATACTAGCGTATACGTTTCCAATTGCGAATACTACACTTTTACGTTCAAGAATACCGTGTCAGAAACGTATGCGCATCTTCGACCATTCGAATCGTGCGTATGCGCAAATTTGCGAGTGATTCGAGAATAGAGCCCCTGGTCACCCCTCGTCATTAACCAACGACGGGTACCAAAATATTAAAGAAGAGGAAGCAGAGGATGGGACAGATAAGAAGAGGAGGAAGCAGTCGAGTCCCACGGAGGATCCTCCTGAGACCCCGACTGACGATTTGTGGAAAAGTGGGGGCCTCCTAGAAAGGAGGATTGACGGCCTATCCGGAGATAAATTGTTGAAGAGGGCTAAGAAATTTTTGTATTTCTACTTAGCTCCTCCAGAGGATGACGGTACAGTGAATGTGGAGATGGAAGGATATGCGGATATAGTGGACGAGGTAGTAAGAACTCTTGAACGCAAGTGGCAGACTGCCCGTAAGAGGGAAAAAACAGAGAGGGATAAGAGGTTGAAACTGGAGGGAGACGTGGCTGTATTAAAAGCCCGACTTATAGGAATGGAGAAGATCAAGAATCCAACTAAGGTGGCAACCCGGGAGGCTGCAACTCAGATTCGGGTGCACTCCCGGTTAAGAGGGAAAGTGTTAGAAGCGTGCTCGAAGGAATTTGAATCCATGGAAGTGGATGAGGTAGTGGAACGGGTGGAAAAGCGGGACGTGGCCACTCAGGTTAGGTTTCACCCCGCGTTAAACACAGGTGTTGTGACGCCCCGGAAAGCGGGACAAACGACGATCGTGGACTGAGCGCGGGACTTTGTGCCCGCGTGGATGCCCTCGATCGCAAGATGGATGAAGTCGTGAGGGAGTTACGCTCTCTTACGGGACAGAGGACCGGCGCTCCCTCCGGCTGGGAAGGTTGGCGGGAGGGGCGCTCCCAGAGGTGGAGAAGCTCCCGGTGTGCTTCCTTCTCCTCCGGCAGGTAGGCTAGAGAGGGGGGAGGTAGCTGGGGAAAACGGGGGAGGGGGCGCTGCGGATCCTACTTCCTTAACCGCCAGACAAATTATGTCTGGTCGGGGCGGGGGTGGGGGTACTGGGCGTGTCCCTCCAACCGCTAGAGGGGGAAAGGGGGCTAAGACTGCGGGGCCGCTCCCGCCCAGAACGGCGGCGGTGATTATCACCGTTCCCCGGGGCGGAGCGGTTTTGTATGCCGAGGTTCTAAGGGCGACGAGGGAGAAAGTCTCCCTCGCCGCCATAGGGATTGAAGACATTAATTGTCGAAGGGCGGTAACCGGGGGCGTGGTGTTAGAGGTCCCTGGCGAAGGCGCCAAGCAGAAGGCGGACGTCCTGGCGCGGCAGATTAGTGCTGTGCTAGAGGGGTCCGAAGTGAGGGTCGCCAGGCCCAGCAAGAGCGTGGAGTTGCGATTAAAGGGCCTGGACGACTCGGTCACCATTTGGGAGATAGCGGCCGCCATCGCCGCAGTTGGCGGTTGCGAAGGGGGGGATGTGAAAGTCGGGGAGATCCTCCGTCCCCCTAGGGGTATGGGAATCGCCTGGGCGCGATGTCCTGCGGGAGTCGCGTCTAGCGTAATGAAGGCAGGGCTCAGGGTGGGCTGGAGCATACCGAAAGTAGAGCTGCTCCAGACTGGGCTCTGTGCGCCTCCCCGGTGGACCGCAGCGGGCGTTGTTACCGCTGCGGGCAGAGCGGCCACCGGACTGGCCGATGCTCTGCGGCGGCCCCGAAGTGTCCGTTTTGGGGTTGCCGGCTGAGCATTGGCTTGGGAGGGCTGGGTGTTCCCGCCCGAAGACAAATGGGAGGGTGGAGAAGCGGGATTCGATGAGAAGAGAGAAACCCGCCTCTTCAGCGGGAGGTACGGCTCCTGCAGAAGGAGGAATGGAGGAC